TATTCATTTTAAAATTTTCTTTAGGTTCGTTACTAGGCTCTGATACCAATTATAGGGTCAAAAAGCGGAGAATAATTAAAATATAGAGATAAGGGTATAATAGACAATACTCACACAAAATGACAAAAAGTACGAAACTTAATGGCAAAGTAGTATAATCCACTACACAAATGTGTCTGAAGGTATTTACATAAAAAAATTATCTATGAATTGTATGAGTTTTGGATTAGCAGAGACACGGGAGATTAGAACATTTAGAGACGATAAGAGTAGCGGTAGCGACTATGTGGTGTGAGGAACTATATGCTTGCTTTTTAAAATTAATTATCATGTTCCTAATTCACAATATATTAACGATCTTCATTTAGAAGGGACCAACATGTACAGAAAATAAAAGCTTAGAATTCTAAAGGCCAAAAAAATTGCTTGAAGACTCCAGTGCTCCATTTATTAAAGTTTGAGGTCTCTGGCTGAAAATTTCCCAAAATTTAAGCCAATTTGCAAATTTTATTCGCTATAGCTATACTTACATCTGGTTCAATTCAATCGTGTAACTATTTTTCAATTTTGTTCAGTTGGATAGTTGCACTTTAATTTAATTTATATTGGTATAATTTAATTTTAGTTTGATTTCAATCAAGTAACTATATTTAATATGATTTTAATTAAGTAACTTTGTTCAATTCAGTTGATAAAAATCGATGACTAAAAAAAACGATCATCACACATAGTCATTAGTTGTAGCGTAATTTAAGTGAACGTGATACCTTCATCATTAGTTATGATTTCATTATCGTTTTTTTTATCAATTTTATTGACAGAATTGAATAGAGTTGTCCCTGTTTAAATCTAATTAAAAAATTGTTTATTTTTTATTAAAATCAGATTTTAATCTAAGTCAAAGTCAAACAATCAATATTAGCCCCTGTTTGCCCCCCATTAATTTAAATTTTTGGGGGGTAGATAATTTTTAGAATAGTGATTGATGGGAGATGTGTGGTTGAAAAGTTTTTGATTTGTGTGTATTATTATTTTATTTGATGAATGTATGGTTGAGATGAAGAGAGAGAAAAAATTAATGTAATGGAATGTAATATAATGGGGGCCAAACAGGGGCTAAATTTAGAGTGTGTTTGGTAGGGATTTTAAATTGATGGTTGAGATGAAGAGAGAAAAAAAATTAATGTAATGTAATGGAATGTGATATAATGGGGGGCAAACAAGGGCTTAATCACATTTTTTATGGGTCCTACAACTTTTCAATCGCACATTTCAAAAACTTCTATCACAATTTACTAAAAATTCAATTTTAATTCACACCAAACATCCTTTGAAGTACATTTATCCGGCTAAAAATGTAAGTTACAATTACCTATAGAAACTATAGTTATCACAAATTGAATTACCCGCATAGCTATTCGGAGACCTGGCAATTATGTACCCTGAATCGCGTAAAGAACTCCGGATAAGATAGCAACATTAAAAATTAATTAATTGCCTAAGATTCCGAAAAGAAGAAAAAGAAGTTGAAAAGGCGAAGCTGAATTGTACTGTTACAAGAAAAAACATGGGAGGAATTTCAACTCTTTCAGCCCCAAAATACTGGCACAATCTTCCAACATTGGCATCCCAAAATAATTCAAGAATCTTAAACCAATTTAATGACAAATTTTCTTCAATTCAGTTCAATCCCACTTTGAAATCATCAGGAAAAGAGAACCCATTTTCTTGTTTTGCTTTGGATGCTTCGAGGGAGTCTATACCGCCACTGGTGGTGGTGGGATCAGCCAATGCTGATTTATATGTGGAGATTGACAGGTTGCCTAAGGAGGGTGAGACTATATCTGCTAAAACTGGGCAAATCTTGGCAGGTGGTAAAGGAGCCAATCAGGCAGTTTGTGGTGGTAAACTGGCATATCCCACATACTTTTTGGGGCAAGTGGGGGATGATGCACATGGGAAGTTAATCACTGAGGCACTTGAGGGTGGTGGAGTGTGTTTGGATCATTTGAGTAGACTGGATAATGTTCCTACTGGGCATGCTGTGGTCATGCTGCAGGCTGGTGGGCAGAATTCTATTATTATTGTTGGGGGTGCTAATATGGCTTGTTGGCCCGATACTCTGTCCGAGGAGGATCTGGAGGTTGTTAAGAATGCTGGGATTGTTTTGCTTCAGAGGGAGATTCCTGATTCTGTTAACATCCAGGTTGCAAAGGTGAGGTTCTTGATTGTAAATGTTCTATAATAATGCTTGAAGTTTGAATCGGTGGATGAGATATTAAAGGTCTTTATATGGATTGATGACTATTCTGTTCTGTAATTATTACAAACCTCCCTATAAACCAATGCTTGTATAGTGTTTTTCATTTTAGAGATGGATATATGAGTAGTTGCAAGAGAAATGAATTCAAAATGTTTAAAGTTTATAGCTTTATGCTCGAGTCTTCCCCTCGTGAGATCAAAGTCATGTGTTTGTTGCTGAATAGTTGTGTTTGCTTAAAAGATTTAAATGTCATGGTTCGAGTTTGGGCAATTAACAGTTTTGCCCAGATCTCGATGTCTTTTCGAGCAGAGAGAAATTATATTGTGCGGAGGGAAAGCCTGTGAATTGGGCACTCGTGATATAGACCAAGGTGAATCCATTAGAAGGGGTTTACATTCATAGATGCTCAACCTTTTAGCACCCAGTAAAACTCCTATTAGGCAGATTAGCAACTATGTTGAAGAAGAATAGCCTAGAGGATGGAGTTTGAGCATTTTGCTCAATGAAATATCAAGGAAAACCAATGGCATTTTGACGTGTTATCTGATCTAAAACTAGGCATTGAGTTTATCCATATGGAAGCCCTCTGTGGATGGTGGTAACTGCTAAATGTCTTGATGATGGCAATCATTTGTTTTCCCCTCAGGCTCATACATGTTACCTTATTTTGTAGAGTACAAAGATATTTCTTCTGAAAATTATTTGTGGGAATGATTAAGCTCTTATATGTTCTCCTAAAGCATTAAATATCTCCTATCTTCATCTTTAACAAAAGGTTAAAAGATTCTTCTCTAGATAATAGAGATTCTCTCATAGAAAAAAGAAAATAAGATGGGTTTTGTCACCTGACCCTTTTAGATTATGCTTTCAGTCTAAAACTCTGCAATAAAGAATGGCAATGAGTTTCAGGTGTCAATGATATTGAATAAGATTACGGAGATCGTCGAAGATTGCGATTATATTATCATTATAATTGTACCATATATAAATAGATTGCTTTTACCATATTTAGTTATGCTTTTGGCTCTATATAATGAGATAACATCTCACATAGAGTGACATCGAGTCTTATTGAATATTATCGTGTATATTTGACATGGTATTAGAGCTAGTTTAATTTCATTTTGAGTTAAACTTGCAAACTTTTGTTCTCCGGCGAGAGGCCTCATGCCACTCGTCCGATCAAATTTTCTTGTTTTTGATTAGATATAATTGTCTATGTTAGTTTTATATTGGTAGTTTATATTGATAATAATTATTTGTCTCACATTCATACTTTGAGGAGCTTGTGAAACTTCACGTATAAAATCAGATTCAGAAATTGGAACCACTAAACCAAACTGGGCAATCTTGACCGCTTCTCTCATCTCCATCAATTGAAGCACACTGCACACCCCACCATCTGCATGCTTCTACGGATAACATCAAGAGGGTATGCAACAGTTTGTCTGATAGTACCTGCTGCAGCCCCACATGCAAGTCTTGTTACCAAGCCCAATTCATTATCTTCAACAAGCCCAAATTGATTAGATTCAATCAACCAATCCTTTAGAGATTCATATACAGCAAAGTTGAGACCCACATATGGAACAACTCCAATGACAGAAGGAAGCCAACCCTTCTACAAAGCACGAACATCTCCTCACGAAGTACAGTTGACAAAGCATGAAACATTCCTCTATACTGATAAGGAAACTTATCTGTTTACACAGTAAGTTTGCCTCGAACCATGTCCATCGGGTATATTGTAGACATAGCAATTATTCCAACACAAGCTCTAGCTCCCAGACGTAATAAAGGAGTCAGCTGAGCATCCTCATTGTCAATTTGTTGCTGATACAGATATAATATACCCTTGGAGGCTTGTTCATAGCTGAAGAACTTTACAGCGGAATTCGGGACTATAGGAGGCAACAAATCGGCTATTCTCTATGTGCTGTTGCAATCTTCTGGAGTCATGAAGGAGCAGACTAGGTTGGGTATCTTCAGTGGTGGAATTGGACCTTAAAATCCATTCGCAGGGCTGCTTTATTAATTTCTTTTTGGGCTTCTTTGTTTTATTAGGTGGTTGGGCTGTTATTTCACTTGGGCTGTGATCTATAATTGATTGTTGTTGGGTTATGGATTGGTTGGTTACTTTTTTATTGGGCTTAAGTTCATTTGGTTGGGTCTGCAGCTTTGTTGGTTTGGGCTTAAGTTCATTTGTTTTTTCGGAAGAGGATCATCTTTGGTTTTTTTTGTGTAGTTTGTTTTGTGGGATTTCTTCTACCTGTAGTATCTGGAGTTTTTGCCAGTGTTTTGGCATTGAGCTTTTGTCGGATCCTGAATTATGTGTTCGACTAAGTTCTTCCGACAGATAGAACTCACTGTGTGTGTCGGCACACTTCGTGAATTTCTTTTGGAAATCCTTTTTGGGGAGTGTGAGTTCTCTGGAATATCTTTGGAGTGTTCTTTGTTGGTAATGCTTTTGGTTCTATATAATGAGATAACATCTCACATAGAGTGACATCGAGTCTTATTGAATATTATTGTGTATATTTGACATGGTATTAGAGCTAGTTTAATTTCATTTTGAGTTAAGCTTGCAAACTTTTGTTCTCCGGCGAGAGGCCTCATGCCGCTCGTCCGGTCAAATTTTCTTGTTTTTGATTAGATATAATTGTCTATGTTAGTTTTATATTGGTAGTTTATATTGATAATAATTATTTGTCTCACATTCATACTTTGAGGAGCTTGTGAAACTTCACGTACAAAATCAGATCCAGAAATTGGAACCACTAAACCAAACTGGGCAATCTTGACCGCTTCTCTCATCTCCATCAATTGAAGCAGCATTACTCCACCCCACCATCTGCATGCTTCTATGGATAACATCAAGAGGGTATGCAACAGTTTGTCCGACAATACCTGCTGCAGCCCCACATGCAAGTCTTGTTACCAAGCCCAATTCATTATCTTCAACAAGCCCAAATTGATTAGATTTAATCAACCAATCCTTTAGAGATTCATATACAGCAAAGTTGAGACCCACATATGGAACAACTCCAATGACAAAAGGAAGCCAACCCTTGTACAAAGCACGAACATCTCCTCACGAAGTACAGTTGACAAAGCATGAAACATTCCTCTATACTGATAAGGAGACTTATCTGTCTGCACAGTAAGTTTGCCTCGAACCATGTCCATCGGGTGTATTGTAGACATAGCAATTATTCCAACACAAGCTCTAGCTCCCAGACGTAATAAAGGAGTCAGCTGAGCATCCTCATTGTCAATTTGTTGCTGATACAGATATAATATACCCTTGGAGGCTTGCTCATAGCTGAAGAACTTTACAGCGGAATTCGGGACTATAGGAGGCAACAAATCGGCTATTCTCTGTGCTGTTGAAGGAGCAGACTAGGTTGGGTATCTTCAGTGGTGGAATTGGACCTTGAAATCCATTCGCAGGGCTGCTTTATTAATTTCTTTTTGGGCTTCTTTGTTTTATTAGGTGGTTGGGCTGTTATTTCACTTGGGTTGTGATCTATAATTGATTGTTGTTGGATTATGTATTGGTTGGTTACTTTTTTATTGGGCTTAAGTTCATTTGGTTGGGCCTGCAGCTTTGTTGGTTTGGGCTTAAGTTCATTTGGTTTTTCGAAAGAGGATCATCTTTGGTTTGTTTTGTGTAGGCTGTTTTGTGGGATTTCTTCTACCTGCAGTATCTGGAGTTTTTGCCAGTGTTTTGACGTTAGAGCTTTTGTCTGAACCTGAATTATGTGTTCGACTAAGTTCTCCTGACAGATAGAATTCACTGTGTGTGTCGGCACACTTCGTGAATTTCTTTTGGAAATTCTTCTTGGGGAGTGTGGGTTCTCTAGAGTATCTTTGGAGTGTTCTTTGTTGGTTACTGCACTATTTGTTGTTCTGGGTCTCTCGTAGTCACTAATTTTTGTAGATAATTGCTCTAATTTGGATTTCTACTTCGTGGGCACAAATATTATCTTTATCGCCAGTTCATGATTGCAAATTGATGCTTTTACCAGCATCAATTTGAGGGGGGATGTCAATGAGATTGAATAAGATTACAGAGATCGTCGAAGATTGCAATTATATTATCATTATAATTGTACCATATGTAGATAGATTGTTTTTACCATATTTAGTTATGCTTTTGGTTCTATATAATGAGAGAACCTCTCATATAGAGGGGCATCGAGTCTTATTGAATATTATTGTGTATATTTGACATCTGGGTTTCAACTAGAAAGCCATAAAATGGATTGTTGATCAGAATTATAACTGATTGGCTTCTTAAAATAATGAGACGAATTCATTCTTTTTAGAAAGGCAATTCTGAGTAGCACTGCTGTATTGTTTCGTTTTATATTTATTGTTTGGTGCAATTCTTTGGCTCAATTCCTCATGCTTCTCGCCACATTTTTCAAAGACACGCTTTAGAATTATCAAATTACCCCATTATGCCTCTGGTTTAGGTTTTGCATAAAATTAATAAAAAAACAAAGGAACCAAAAGTACTTCAGTATTCAATTCCTTTTTCAACATGTGTACAATTGTTTTTTCACCTGCATTATTCTCTTTTATCTGCTTTAGACATGTTTTTGAAGAGTCTCTTAAGATGTGCTAGCATTGGGAAATTCCAAACTCATGATTGCTTTTGTTTTCAAATTGCAGTGACCTTGGCTTCTTTGGGTTTGTTTTTTTTTTTATGCCCTTATATCTTACACAGTGGAGTTATTACGATTCAGAGAAACTTCTTCATCAGTTATATATCGTTCGGCAGTATGCTTCTATAACCATCTCTCTCTCTTTAGGTCGCTAAGAGTGCACTTGTACCGGTCATCTTGGATGCTGGAGGAGTTGATGCACCAATCCCTATAGAGCTATTTAGTTTTGTCGATATTTTCAGCCCAAATGAGAGTGAGCTTGCTCGTCTGACGAACATGCCAACAGAAACTTTTGAACAGATAAACCAAGCTGTGGGAAAATGCCATAAAATGGTGAGTAACAATTGTACTCAAGGTATCAAAGACAGCTAATTATGGAATGGTGATATCAGTTGGAGTATCTCTTTTAGTATTTCTTTTTCCATATTTGTGAGTATTCCTTTTTCTTTCAGGGTGTTAAGCAAGTGCTTGTGAAACTCGGAGCTAAAGGGTCTATTCTTTTCACCGAAGGAGAGGAACCAATTAGACAACCCGTCATATCGGCTCCAAAAGTAATTGATACCACTGGAGCTGGTGACACTTTCACTGCTTCTTTTGCAGTGGCTCTTGTGGAGGGAAACTCCATAAAGGAATGCTTGAGATTTGCTGGTATGCATAGTATTTTTTTCCTCCCGTTTTACAATTATTTCGGCTGCCTCACAAAGTTATTCATGATTTTCAGCTGCTGCTGCTTCACTTTGTGTTCAAGTAAAGGGAGCCATTCCAAGCATGCCTGACCGAAAATCTGTTTTGGATCTTCTTCAGTCACTTTGAGGATGTTCGTGTTTGTAGCGTAGTTCGTCTTGCATATAAATAAGAGGTATTCTTCTGATACTGCTGCATGATCATTTTTTTCCCTTTTAGTGTCTAAAAGTAGTTCTTCCTAAAACTTTTAACTGTTTGAAAAATTGGATTAAAGCTCATCCATTAGTGCTCTGTTTCCTTGTTACTAAAAAAAATATGTCTTCCTATGGTTGAGTGATAGAAAAGATGTAAAGAACATGCAAAGTACACGTAATATCTAACTAGGAGACAAGATTGGAGTTCGAATCAGTGGGGCTTTAATCTCTCGCTACCAACTTAACATACGTGCCCTTCAAGAGGGATGGTACTTGTGTAGATAAAAATTGGTGTCATACAATGTATTGCAAATAGTTGATGGAATGAAACTAATCCACGATGTGTGATGAAATCACTTTAAAAAAAAAGGAGCAAAAATGGGGAAGGAAAAAGAATCTGTACCCCTGGCCGTTTGCTTCTGTGCTATTCTCACCATTGTCTATTTCCCACCCAATTGTTTTCCTCCATTCCCCATCCCCACCCCTTTGCTGTCCATCTGGGGTGGAAATTTGGTCATAGGGGTGGGAGAGAGGTGACAGGTGGGAGGGAGAGGAGCATTTCTTCTTTAACTAAAAAAATGAGGGTATAATGATCTTTTCAACCAAAATCTCTTTCCATGTGCATTGTTCGTGACATTTTCAAAACTAAAATGAATGGATTCCGACAGTGGGGACCCAGTCCTACAACTGGGAGCCTAAATGAGAAGAGGATATGATTTGGGGCCTACATGCTCAAATGTATATGTTGGGAGACCTATGCGGCTATGCTACTTTTCGAAAAATGAAAATAGACATCAATCTTTTGTTTAGTATGAAATAGAAAATTTAACGATGTAAAGAAAATAGAAGAATAAGTTTTATATTGAACCTGCAGAAAGTGAGTAGTTAATAGTAATAGAAACAAAAAAAAAAAAAATTTGATAACATAGATGTTCCCAAGGCCACGTAATATACAATTTCGACATTATGAGAATGTTGATCAACGTAATGCTAAACTGAAATTGTTACGCATCCATTTGGCAAAATATATAAATCATTTATAAATGGTCAAATTTCATTTTCAACCAATCATTTCAATAGACTCACAAGTACTGTCCACTTATCCATCACTCGTTTCTATCTATTTATACATTAAACTGTTTATAAATCCTTCCCAAATGGAGGCCAAATGGAAATTTACGTTACTTGAGAATTTTGCAATCGTGGATCATTTCGACTATATATATATTTTTTTTTTCAAAAGTTGGGTAATTATAGCTACTGGTGCTGTATGATGATGTCAATGACTCGAGGAAAATTTTTGTAGGCCGTCACTAAAGCTGCTCTTAATTCAGGACTCGGACTTGGGTTTTGTAGGTTGAGTGATTCAGGGCGCTTCAAGCTAGTTTTCTGTCATCTCTATAGTTATTTCTGATGTAGAGTTTTGTCCTGCAAGTTCAATTATGCCTTTCATTTTATATTAATTTTTGTTGAAGATAGTATTATTCAAATATTGAGTTTCATAAAGTATCCTTCGGCCTTCGTTAATCATACCCTGAGAATGAACTGGTTTACAAGGTTCTGGATATCTATAATGTGCGTTGTTAACATAAAATCATGTGGTTCTTATTTTTTGGGATTGCAATGGGAAGTTTTAAGCTTTGCGGACATTGCTTCTAACAAAATTATTGTATCTATAACATACTAGATAAATGTTGGGTAACTTGTGAGTTGTTCTTACTGTTTTCAGTGTTGTTGCCCACTTTAGGTCGTTGTTGGGATGAGAATGGACAATATTCTATTCTGAGTGGTCGGTTCAATTAACTTTCACTCTTGTAGGCCATGCCTCTGATGTTCTGCAATATTACCTTGTCTTGAATCACCAGAAATTATTCACAAATTAGGATGCTTTCTGTTGCTGCCACCATTGTTTGCGATCAATAAATCTTAGATCCTTGCCCAAGTACCAATTTTATGCAAGTTTAGACATTTAATAAAGAAAAATACTCGAAAGAATATACCATCTTCTTAATAGGTATTCAGAGAAGAAACGTAATCTGATAGGTACCTTCAAGTTCATGTGTTAGAAGATAGGGGTATTAATGTTTAATGCAATAAACTGTATAGGCTTTTATCTATAAATAGGGGGAGGGTCATTTCATTTTAATTAGGCAGGAATTACGGTTGAGGTCAGGATTCTAATGCCATTGCCCTACGTCATTATGGCAATTAAAGGGTTAACATCATAGGTGAACACTTGTTATAGTTATAAATCTTCCATCATTGATGCTCCAGTTTCGTTGTGCTGCTACTTCTTTCCCGAGCTGCTGCAATAGGAATCCTTAATATTAGTTCGGTTTCTGCGAATTCAAAAACCCAAATTTCTCCATGTTATATCTAGTTTGAGATCCCATTATACTTATGCTGAAGGTCAACAACTCAAGATCAAAAGGGAAAGAAAAAGGGGAGAGACTTCTGTTTGTTCTCATTGATTCTCGTTCCTGCAGTTGTTCCTGCAGCCTCTTTTGGACAATGATATCGAAGTCACTGACAGTCCATTCAGCAACTTGGTTATCAGGCCTGTAACGATGGTTGACCAATATCTGTCTGATGGTGGAGTTCCTGGATCCTGGTACATCAAAGATAATCAAATACTGTCAGGAAAATGCCCTGCAAGTCTGTAACTCAATAGCAGAGCAAGTACCAAGTATTAGTAGCATAACAAAAATGACTTCTTACTGGAGTGGGGACAATTTTGGGCTGGATTCACTTTCCGAATTTGAGTGGCTCCATGTCACAACCATATAGCTATTTTCTTATTTAATACCATAGTGTTTATTAGGTTAGAACCTAATTATAAGGTACCCATTATGAAATAATGCGTTTGGAACTTGACCTATGTTCGTTGATGGAGACGAGTTCAATTTCACTAATACCATTGAAGAATACAAAAGAGTACGAAGTATTCAAAAGCATACCCTCTATAAAATACATACAAAGTACTCGAACTAAATTTTACGTGGAAGCATGTATACTAGGTGAGTCTAAAAGATTTTTAAGTCACATACAAGATTGTTCAAGACTATCTCACAAATTGGGATACTCTAAAGTACAAGAGGCACTCCAAAAAGGCACTCGCACGGTGGTGATGGCTAAATAATAACCATTCGATGTGGGAGAATACAATACCCTATTTTGATATGGGATTATAAAAAATCATCAAAACAATGCCACCCAACCAAATTTGTTCATTGTATTCAGAGATGAATTTAGAACCGGACTACAAGTCAGGTTAATATGTACACTAAAAAAAAATTGGTCTGGAACTAGGCTGGGCAGTCCCTCCTAAATCCGTCTCTGGTTGTACTGTCAAGTCAAGTGCATCACACATGCACTAAAAGTAAATTCAGCCAAGAACTAGGCGAGCTTCCTCTTGGTGCTTGAAACTCATAACTGCAATTTTTAATTTCTGTTGTGAATTCAAGCACTTATGATATGTATTAACATATTTAACAAAGAAAAAAGAAGAAAACTCACGAGGTGATGTAGAATTGTAGAGGTCACAGCAATCTACTTATCTTGGACTTCCCATATTTGGGGCATCTTCACCAACTGCATTGCATTGATTTAATGCCTCAATAGCCACTCTAAGACCATCTCTTCTCATCCCAGGATCCACTTACTGCAGATGTTTCTGCAGAAAGACAGCATAAATGCAATGCAAATATCGACACTAAAACTAGCCTGCCAAAGTTTTTGCAGCAACACCATTATAACTTAATTTATTTAAGAGTATAAAAGTCTCTCTCTCTCTCTCTCTCTCTCTCTGTGATTACTGGTGGACATTGTTATACTCGAGGTCGAGGGTTAACATTTTGCCCACAAGTATTCTGAACTATAAGTTGATTACACCTATATTCATTATCAATTTAGAGTATCAGTTCCGTTCTCCTGCGCATGGCGCGCAGGAGAAGCTTATACGCCTTGCCTTGGCAAGGCAAGGCTAGGCTGACAACTTTTACAATTTTTTTGATTTTTGTCTTTTGTTAATTTTTATTTTATTTTTTATACAATCATGTTTGGTATCTAATAAAATCTAAATTTTAATTTAAATTAAAGTTAACAATTAATTTTAATAACATATTTCATGAAATCCATAGATGTTTAACTTTTATCAAAATTTACTAAAAATTTGATTTTAATCTCCACCAAACGGGAGCAAAATCAAAATAAATTTGAATTTTGATAATATACGTAAATTTTAAAAATTCCCTGACGATCGTACGCTTATCGAATCTACAAATCACTTGTATCATTTCGAAACTTATTTCAAGAACTACATTATAGATATATCGAATAGTTCAAACAGATATCGAAAATAGTTAAGAATACGTCCAACGTGAGTCTTAAAAAAAGACGTCTAATAATTGGACGTCGGACGTCTTTTTTAATATTCACGTTTGACATATTTTTAACTATTTTCGATATCTGTTTGAATTATTCGATATGCCCATAATGTAGTTCTTGAAATAAGTTTCGAAATGATATAAGTGATTTGTAGATTCGATAGCGTACGATCGTCGGGGAATTTTTAAAATTTACGTATATTATCGAAATTCAAATTTATTTTGATTTTGCCCCCGTTTGGTGGAGATTAAAATCAATTTTTTAGTAAATTTTGATAAAAGTTAAACATTTATGGATTTCATAAAATATTTTATTAAAATTAATTGTTAACTTTGATTTAGATTAAAATTTAAATTTCATTCGATACCAAACATGATTGTATAAAAAAAATTTAACAAAAGACAAAAAAAATAAAAAATGTAATAGTTGGTAGCTTTGCCTTGTATAAGCTTCTCCTGCGCCCCATGCGCAGGAGAACGGAACTGTTTAGAGTACATAGAGTGTGTGTATAAATGAGTGTATAAGTATTTAACAGTTGTGTAGAGACGGTCTGGTTATAATTTAGGCTTAACATTTTGTCCACAAATATTTCTAATAATCTGTTGTCACGAGTGTTGCCAACTTTGACAACTGCTTGGTAAGAAATTTGTAGCAACTTTCTTTCATTTTCTACCACCTTAAATGGCAAGCATATTACATCTTGAAGCAATAATACAAAGGATCTTGAACTCGTTTTCTAAAAAAGAGAGACCTCTTTCATAAGGTGGACTTAGAGGTATAAAGCGGAATATGTTAGGTTGGACTAAGTCGTACAACAAAATACAAGATTTGGTATGGTTTGATAAGGTCTTTGTCCAAGTACAAGTAGGTCACATTGTGTGGACTCTGAGCATGGAGGGTGACTTCCATCACAATCTGCTTAGAGGATGGTACGTGTGACCTTACCTACTATTGTACATTTGACGACTTCGTCACTTTTTTTTTTTTTTTGGAGAAATTCCCAAAAGAAGGAAAAAAATGTCTTTCTCTTTAGATGTATAAAATAGGGCAGATCAAGTTGGGTTGGATAAATCGAATAACAAAATGCGAGGTTCAATGTAACTCGTGAAAGTCTATGTCAAGTTGGAATGAGTAAAGTCACTTTGTTCGAATTTGGTGCTACCTCTATTGACCGACCCTCACATTGCACCGTGGGTCCTTCGTGAATTAAATAATGCCGACCCCTCGTGTGTGTGTTCGGCCAACCAAAGTGTCATCCAAGATGTTCATGTAGCATTACTCAATTGGAATAGACAACATATTGTACATGTAGTACCTTGATGATTTATGTCACTTTCTTCTTCTTTGACAACTTCAGGTCACTTTCTTGGTTGAACAGAAATAGATAATAAATTTCTTGATGTGTACAAACGATTTCATCAATTGATGTTCTCATTAATCTTTATGAACTTCATTACACAGATTCCAAGCGTCAATAGCTCCTCTAAGACCATTTCTTCTCATCCCAGGATCACCAATATCAGAAATTTGTTCATTCCATGCTTTAGCAAATTAATTTAAGGAAATATGAACTTAAATCCTCCGTTCAGAGCTCAACCTTTGCAACTTATACAAACCTTCATATTCTTATTTTGAGCTCTGCAATAGCAATTCATAAATATTGTGGTATGGAGCTATGTGCAAACAACTCGAATTTTCTTTCAGCATCAGCAATAAAATGATGGCTTTTCCATTTGTATCGAAAATGGATAACAATGAATTTGACAACCTCTCACATGCGATGGGCCCGCATGATTAAACAATTCCAATAAATAAAAGTGGGACCCCCCAATTATCAATGTCAGTCAACCTATATGTCAACTATTTTCGGTACGAATAGCACGGCTCATAAAATGATTTGAAACATAAAACGTACTTTATCAATTATTAATGGCTAAATTAAATATAAATCATCCAGTCCTTTCAGAAATTTATTGTAAGAGGCCGGATTTGTGTTAAGAACCTGAAAGATCTAGAGTGGATGTAATTTTCAGTCCATCCATGTACTTGTTAAAAAAAAAAAAAATACTTTCTTGATAAAATCCTTAATAATATCCTAAAAGATTCGTGAATTCTTTGAAAATAAAATAAAATAAAAACACATTCAAATTACATCAAGAACATTGCCAGCTCATCTTCTCCCTTCTTCTCCATCCCAATTCCTAATTACTAGCTGAGATTCAGTAGCAAGAACCCTTCATTTTAGTTGGGGATGCTGCGTCTCCATATTCCAGCCAAAGCACTACCAAAGATCGAGTGACACACACTAGAAACTGCACATGGCACTGCAGTCAGTGGATTCCCGAAGTGTTGAGTGGCAAGGACGACCCCAAGCACCGAATTCTGAAACCCAGAAAGCGAAAGATGTCTATGACAGTTCACAATAAAAGAGGGAAACAAAAAATCTATCAATATTTACAAGATAAGAGGAATACCTGCATGCCAACCTCAATAGAAATCGTTCTTGATGAGGAAACGTCAAGCCTAAGCATCCTTGAAAGTACATAACCGAAGAAAAAACCAGATGCATGAAGAAGAGCAACAGCTAGAACTACTTGTCGACCAGACATGAGGATTGCTGAAGAACTCTGAGCAATTGCATTTCCACAAAGAACAGCGACAGTTGACACAGCGATAGGTGGCATCAAGGGAGAAACAATTTTAACAAAGCTTTGGAAATACTGATTCAGAAATGCTCCGGCCAAAACAGGAAGAAGCACAACCTGAGTCATATGAAGGGTGCACATTACGACTTTGAGAAGTAAATTATGTGGAAACTCATAATCAGTAGAGCAAAGCTGTAAGAATAATAAAGGTCACCTGCAAAGTTGATATGAATAGTCCGACTGCATCTACAACCACATATTGTCCTGCAAGTTTTGCTGTGAGAAAAGGCGTCATCACCTGTAAGAGAAAATGACAATGATAACAACAAGCCTTCGGACAATAGGAACTCCCAATGTGGCATTTCAGATAGTCAGATGAGCAATTTTAGACGAAGCAATATAGTCCCTTTAATTATCCTCGTTCTTTGATCTTATGATACAAAACGGAGATTCAGAGCACAAGAAGACAGCAGTGAAAAAGGAACAGACAAGTCAAAATGCTCTAAAAGATTCACACAAGAATAACTAAGAACCAAGACACCAATTTGAATTACAAACCACTGCAGAGAGGGTGCTTGCGGCAGTCATCAACACAGAAAGAGCCACATTTCCTCTGTAGTAAAATAAAGTAATCAGGGTTTCACATCAAGATATTCAACAGATTAAAAGTAGCTTCTCTAGGAGTGCCATACCGTGCAATATACGTAACAATATTACTTGCAGTCCCTGTGAAGGAATACAAGTGAAAGTGAGTAAAACATAGACAAGAAAGCAACCACAAAAAGCTATGTGCCCCAAAAAAAATCCATATACACCTCCTGGACAGCAACCAACCAATATTAAGCCAGCTGCATAATAGGATGGCAAATTCAAAAGCTTGCTCACAAAAAATGCAGATAACGGCATAACCTGTCACCACAAATCGACATTATAGCATAATGCAAATACAGTATGAAGGATATCATCTCCATTTGCCACACCTCTTAAGTGCTCTGAACATACAAAACAACAAAAGAATGGTTATAGTAACTTGAGAAATTTCAAACTTTCTTGTTCTATCAATAAGTAGTTTAAGATAACTCAGGCTTCAAATCCATTTGCCACAACTATAAACATATAAAACAACAAAAGAACAGTTAATAGTAACTTGAGAAATTTCAAACTTGTTCTATCAATAAGCAGTTTAAGATGACTCAGGCTTCAAACTGCCCACATTACGCTCTATAGATTTATATCCTTTTATTTCACATGATACAGAAACCCATGTCTGAGAGTCAGAGACGTTATAAAAGCATACAAATGAAGCAAGAAGCTAATTAGTTATTTCTAAACAAAGAAAAAATGCCAAAATTTTGTCATGGAAATTGGGAGAGTTATCACTCAAAAGCTAGCTATTGAGGTTGGAGAGTCCAAGCCTATAAAAACCACACAAAGGAAGCCCATACTTCCGATGTGGGATTCAAACTCCCATAAGCTCTACTGGAACCATGACAAACCACCACGCTCCCGACCCCGACGCCCACGGGGGGCAAGCGCTCACACACCAACTAGGGTCTCGAGAAGTGATGCATAATCTGATATAAATGTCATAGAACTTGGGAGAATCATCACTCAAAACCTAGCTATTGGGGCTGGAAAGCCCAAACTTATATAAACCACACAAAGGAAGCCATACTTCCGACGTGGGATTCCCATTAGTTCCACCAGAACCATGACAAATTTTCAGAAAATAAATGAAGCCAAAAGCTTGATGAGCAATCTTAACAAACTAAACAACAAAGGAAGTTAATCCTACGATCATGATAGGAAATTATTGGAGATTCATTATATATAAGAAACACTCAAACTAAGCATTTATACAATCAAGAATGAAGTAGATGAACAAAAAGGAAAGGGGAGATTACAGAATACTGCAGCATGAAGCCGGAGAATAACTCCTTGGGCATAGCCATCGCGCCGCGAAGATCATCAAAGGTAAGAGTCATCCCCATACCAAGCATAGTGAGAGTGATGCCCATGACAGTCCATTGAGGCTTGACCCAATTGAATGAGCTAGGCTTCACCAATCCCAACAAGCAACCCAGAGCTACCCACAAAGGAAAAGCAGTAGATATAGCCTCCCCAACTGCTTCAATCCAGCTCTTCTTTGTAGTCACAGCGTTCGACGAATCGCCACAAAGAACTGGCTTCAACCTCAGCCCAGAAATATGATCACTCTTTGGTGAAATTACCGAAATGGGATTATTGAAACGAGATTGGACTGCAAGATTATCTGATGTAGGGATTGAGAAGGGCGTTCTTGGGATGGAGGGTTTATAGGAATAAGTATTCGGTGCATAAAAACGAGTATTTCTTGTATAGTAATGGCAGTATTTAACTCCATTAGCGGATGATTGTGATGAAAAGCACTGCATTTTTCTTCTCTTGTGCCTAATCACAACTACTTCTACGGACTAATGCCGCTCAGCTAAATCAAGAACCGAAAACAAATTCGCAACCATGTATTTGTATTTTCTGTCTGTCCGCCGCGGCATAAAGGACACAAATATGGTCCCACTCCAAATCTTTTCCCTTCTTCTATTTTTTATTTTATTTACCTTGTCTTATTTGAGAAAATCGCTTAATTTTTATTTTATTTTATTTTATTTTATTTAAAAACCCTGCTTAGGTTTTATTTTATTTTATTTAAAAAACCCACCCAATTCCTTCAATCTACCCCCACGAAATCTCCGATAGCCTCGACTCCACCCCATTGCCATACCATTTTATTTAAAAATTTAAATTGCAGTGTAGACCTTTTCGAACTAGTTAAAAACCAAGAAGACAACTTTCAAATTAGGCTGTTTGTTCCTGCTAAAAAGCAGAATTTCATCCGTTGAACCCTCAAGAATTGGACCGNTGCTAAAAAGCAGAATTTCATCCGTTGAAACCTCAAGAATTGGACCGTTGCTTCAGACAATTTTTGCAGCAATCCTGACATATCAGAAGACATTTTGAATAAAAAGTGGAAAATGACCTTTTTGCCATCAACACTTGAATCATTTTGCATGATTCACATGCATTTTGGACCTTTCATTTGCTAGAAGTCAAATGTTGCTGGCAACCTGGGACCCACCTTGCAGTGAGCAACGGCTACAAAATCAAATCCTAATGCTGAAAATCGTTGCCAGACAACGCCTTAATTTCAACACTTTAAAACTTTAAAATTCGAAACCCACCTTGCAGTGAGCAACGGCTCTAAAATCAATTCCTAATGCTGAAAATTGTTGTCAGACAACGCCTAAGAAGCAAGCAAAAGAATGTCATGTCATAGAGTACCAACATGCACGAGGCATTTGGTATTGACCTTTGGTTGACAGAGAGGCCATTTTCTATTGAATGAAGAAGAAAACAACTTAACACAACACCTTACTACACAAATTAACGACAATCATACAATGCATTCACATTCCCAAAGAAGATTCGCGCATATCAAGCTTCATTAAAGTTCTTCGCCTTGCATCAAATTAAACCATTTCATTCTTTGAAATTGCATAATCAATTTTGAAAACTTGAAATTTATTTGAGAGATAATTTAGCTTCTCTTGAACCAATTAAATAAAACAAAATGAAGTTCGCACAACCAAAATCCATAATCTGCAACATTAAACATGACGAAATTGACTCGACTGGGTCAGCAAGATATACATGTACTACACTGTACAAACAACCCCAACAAATTCGACAAGAAAATCCATTCAATAGTTTAGCCCTCCTAGTTCAGTGTTAGCTAAACATAAAAGTTAATGAAAGGCTCATAACAGCTGTAGCAACTCTCTCTCCTGGGGACGGAATAATAACTAGGATGAACACTTTCCGTAGTCTAGCCTAGGCATTCTCAGTAATGAGCTTCTCCACAGAAATCTTCATCTAGCGCACAGTTGAACGCTGAAAAATGTAATTCCATTGCTACCTTACTGCAGGCGTGCAAGTAGACGCCTCCAAAGCTAGGAAATCCGACTCCAAAGCTAGCAGCTCCTTCCCATGACCTAAAAATTAAAGAAATATCCTTGAGTTTCAAAACATTTGAGCAAGACGGTAGTAATAATAGATGTCAGATCATTCAACGAAACAAAGATGATTTCATAGCAAGGAAACGTTTAGATAAGGAATTTGGGATAAGGCAAAGACAAAAGTTGAATAATGTAACTAACAAGTCATTATATTGCATAATAACTATCTTTTAGCAGAAAAACTCAAATAATAACAAAATTGTGCATGCAACGAACAAAATTGAGGGAAGTCCTAGCAATTAGAACAAAATTTTGGAAGAAAAAAGTCAACCTGAAAATACCTTGAAGCAGGCATTTATAAAAGATAATAAATGAATAATAGGCATGCTCATGTACACTCGCATGACAAACAAATGAGTCGATAACAATAACTCATATCAAGACTTCTTTGAAAGAAAGCAATATCCGTGCTGCTACTCCAAAATGATTTTCTATATGTTCATTATGAGACAATCACACCCAATTAGGTTCTCAAGAAATACCATAGAAGAGAAGGCAAAAAAACACAACCTAGCATGAACTAGTTTATCTGGGTCCTGGATATCCTTGCGTATCATAAGCACCCCAAGTACCGGGTCCAGGTCCATACTGAGGATAACCTTGTGCGCCAGAAGGAGCCTACAATAAGAGGATGAGAAGTTGAATAATAATTAGCTGAGTAATATCAATACAAACAGAATAACATATTTGCTCAAGTTCTGTACTGGTGCACATCTTCTATTCTAACTACAAAAGAGTAAACCTCAGTTGCTAACTTACAGGATGCATTGGATTTGGGGGGTTCATGCCATAAGCTACAGGATAAGGATTCCCTGAATATCCTGCTTCAGGATTGCTGTAATTTGCATTATAAGTTGCAGCTGCAGATATGAAATCCAGCCTATTAGAAAACACTTGCATCAAAGCATAACTCATTTCGTATATCAATTTAATAGAATCATTAAATTTGATGTAGCGAGACAAATGAACATGTTAGCAACTAATCAATCATAATGAATGTCTGCAGATAAATTAACCAATAACACTCTCATAGAATTTGTAAAACATTGCTTAGAAAATATATCATTCAAGTAATATATTCTAGCTTCAACCATACAAACCTGAATGTCTTTGATCTCAAACTACAAAAGTGAACTCAGTGGAGAAGCAACAAACCCAGATATTTAGTTCAAACGGATCTCAAGAAAACTCGTAAGAAAAATACAAAGAGGAATTTATCACAATAGCTATCTCACGATGCTCAAAGCCAAAAAATGTCTGTCTTTTGACTTTTTCGCTCAAAAGGGCCTACTTTACAGGTCAAAAAGAATAATATAACCTTATTAAAAACGGTTGCCAGTTAAAGTAGCGCCTCGACTCTCCAAACTCGAAGAGTCAGGTGATTGGCCTTCTACTCGATCTGCTCTCCAAACTCATCAAATTTGGAGAGCAGGGGAAAATTCAACACATACTTCTTGTTTTCTTTTTTTAAATTCCTCCTCCATCCCAAAACTCTCTGATACCTAGAGTTAGTTTTACCCATTAATCATTATACAAAGATGTGCTGTAAAGCCCCAACCTCAGGCAGTCTGTCTATGTGCAGATAGATATTTCCTATCAGGCACTCCAATCTGATTTGTGATCCAATCAGGAGACACTACCTCAGTAGTCAGTAATAGAAGGGAACTTTGAAGTCTTGCCAGACCCTCTACCATTAGATTAGAATATTTCCTTGGATCTTAGATATGATTATCTACAATCTTCTAGAAATTCCTCAGACCAGATGCTTAGAATCAAAGCTTAGAATCAAACAAGTATCAACCATCTTCTGCAAGGAATAATTCCACAAGTTCTATCTGCATAACAAAAACGAAGAAGAGACTTCAAGTTTTTGTTAAACAGGCGACAACTAGATTTGAACTGGAAAAAAGGGATCCCCAACCAGGAACACGGTACTTTACAGTAGAAGGAGCTCAAAGATGGAATTCAATAGTCTACTAGTCCGACTCTAAAAGCAAAGTCCAAAGAATATCTATTGCCGCATCCAATGATGATAGCTCAGTCAGAAGGTAACCTTTCGGGAAATAGAGATTGAAAATAGAAATACAGTTGTGGATACAGATGTATCCATAGTGAAACAGCAGCCATTAGTCACTTTGAAAGTATTACATAAACTCGTCCAAGAAACACTATAAAACAACGAACTTCATCGACTGTAGTAACTCAGCATAATTAATGCTACAAAAATTTTCCTTAATTGTTACAGCTCTCATAAATAAGTGCAACATTTTTTTTCTTTTTAAAGCAATAATTCTTTCAATTAGTACAATAATTACTCTATTACTAGATTTATCTGGAGAAAATCCCCATTTCGCAGATCAAGGAATATAATATAATCAAATAATTGCACTATTGCAGCCTATACCTTCTACTTATTCTCAGCAGCAATTTTTTCTTCTTCTGCTTATTTATTTTCTGTGTTGGTTGCCTTCTTTTCTTTTTTTAAAAAATTTCTCATTGTCCTTTGTAAGCAAAGGAACGGAGAGTTAGTAGTGAAGAAGAAAAGGAGAAGTATAATTTAGGATTTTGAAAATAAATAAACATTTTAAAAAGTTCAAATTAGTATGGTCATTTTTCACTCTCTCTCTCGAAAACCCCCCTTCCATGGATATATCCTCAAGATACAATGGCACGATGTAATAAAATTACTAAAAAGAAAATCAAATAGTATAGGCCAATGAAATAACTTGAATCTATAGTTTTGCTTCTGAGGACATAGAGACGGACAAGAGAAAATAACATTAATCTATACATTTGTCTATTCTACTCTTGGTTATCTACTCAAGCTAACTTAACAATGGAGTCCATTTCAAATATCATTACCAGTCTCAGTATTGCAAGTCAATTGACTTTACTACCAAGGCATTTCTCATTCAAATTTCCTACCAAAACTGCAGATGGATTAACCAAATAATGTGGAAGATATATACACTGCCATAAGTGGCTTTGCCGTAGTTAATAGCCGCATAAGGACTATCTACGTCCAAGATTTTAATGCCAGGTACAAATACATATGAACAGCATACCCAGTAAAAGAACTTACTTCCTTCAAATCTCCTACCATTTCCTCCCATGTAAAAAACTAATTTCATTACAAAAGAACTTACTTCCTTCAAATCTCCTACCATTTCCTCCCATGTAAAAAACTAATTTCATTACAAAATAATGTCTTATCTATGTCCAAGATTATAAATTCAGGTAATACACATGAATGGAAAATTTCAATTCCGCAATGAAGGGAAAACTTAACGGTGTATCTGGTAAATGAGCTTACTCCCTCCAATCTCCTACTGTTTCCCCTCGCATTGGAATTAATTTCATTATAAAGAATAAACAATGAAAAGGACATACAGGATTCCCAATAGCACTAGCAACATTAATTTGAACATAGAAATGTAGAAAACCCTTCAGAAAACAAATACCTGGATTTCCAATAGCACTGGCAGCATAAGCTCTTTTTTGGGCATTAGCCAACTCAGCCCGTAGTTTTTCCACCTCTCGAGCCATTGTGATTAACTTACTCTCCATCATCTTACCTTGCTCCAAGCTCTCTGCAACGCCCTTCTTTTCACGCTCAACAGCAGCCCTAAAAGGCAACAATAATATTAAAATATAGAAGGCGTGATAGCAGAAATAAAACAATTTATATACAAAGTTACCTAGCTCGCTCCAGCTCATGCCTTAAACCCTCAATTTCTGCCTTAATTGCAGGAACCTGCTGCAAGTCTGAAGTAACTCTAGCTAAGTCTTGAGTCATCATTTGGACCTGAGTCGTAAGATCTTGCCTTGCAGCAGTTAACTCCTTAATATCCATGTGCACCTGCATAAGCTCAGCCCTCATAGCATTAGCAGCATGAAGTTCATTTTCCATTTTAGCAGACTTCTCATAAAGTTCCCTCATCTCTAAATCCGTTCCAGCATGGAAAGAATGGGCAAACTTATCAGCCCGCTGAAACTCATACTGTGCAACCTCTAATTCCTGTCTAAGTGCCACATGAGTTGCAGCCAACATCTGGTTGTCAACAAGCATACCCTGGATCTCATCATGTTGAGCAGCCAGTCGCTCCTTGATAAGGGCAGCAGGAGGAGGATGAGGTCTGGGTCCGCCCAAACTATAATGGGATTCCCTCATTTCTTCCAACAACGCAGGATGAGGTCCTCCGCCAAGGCCTCTGACAAGAGGCGATTCATGAACCGTAGGTGGGGGCAGCCCACCATGAGGAACTCCTTTCATGGGAACCGGAATCCCCCAATTTCTTCCTGACATTAATCTTCTACTTGGTTTTATCTTCCCAGGAAAAATTCTGTTACAAATAATCTGTGCCGATCAATACTTGAAAATTGGACTCAATAAGAAATGCTAACTAAACAGAAACTTTCAAAGAATTTGAAATTGAAAGGATTCAGTGCACAAGAGAAAAAACCCATAAACAACCCCCATCAAAAATTCGAGAGATGTTGTCAAGAAAATCGCTGTTGCTAGACGAAGGTTACCACCAAGAAATAACAATTTTGGTATAAAAAAAAAAATTAATTCTAAGGAGTTGAGTTGAAATTAATCATTCACAACAAACAATCAGATCAAGGTCAAAATCAACATATAAATCCCCTTTTTATGCAAATAAATCAAATACTAACTTCGAAGTTGAGTAATTCTTGTAGATAAAATGGTGCCTACGCAGGTGATGAACACCTCTCCCTTCTTCCCTCTCCTTCAAATTCCAAGGAAAAACAAACCCTTGGCCGCTCGTCCCTCCTGTTATTCGTAAGGTTTACACCGAGAAATTTGGATTTTAATTGGGCTATACAAGAAAATATCACGTAATGGGCTTCTATCGAGTTTTAACGGTAAATTAGGCCCATTCCTTTATTTATATTTTAAAAAAATAGAAATTACTCAAAACCTTACTTTTCAATATTCCATTTCCAAAATCAGATCTCAAGTTTCATCTTTCCAAAATCAGATATTTCATTTTTAAATATTAAATATCAATTATACAATTTTTATCACAAACCCTAATCAATTTTCCTCCTACTTCCCTC